CCTACTCTGCCACAAAAAGAATTTTTTAGAAGACAATTGTAATTAAGAGATCTCACCTCTGTCATTAACTAGTTATGTGCATTAAGTTTCTTATCCTTTCTGGGCCTGGTAGTTGTAATTCATTTAACTTCACTAATTTTTATTGTCTACAACGTGCTAGTACTAAGGAGCTCTGGTAGCGTAGGGGTTATGAATCGGGTTGTTAACCTCACGGTCAGCAGTTCGAAACTACCATCGGTTCCGCGCGAGAAAGATGAGGCTTTCTGCTCCCATAAAGATTTACAGCCTCGGAAACCCTGCTGGTATTTAAAATACTGGCGGCATAGTTTCTAACATCACAGCAGCACACAAGCCACCACAATATGCCAAGCTGACAGTGGAGTGGTGGTGAGTAGTAGTTAAGTGCCTTCGAGTAGATTCCTACCCATAGGGACCCTGCATAGGGTTTCCCAAGCTGTAAATCTTCAGGCGAGCAGAAAGCCTACTCTTTCTCCCAAGGAACAGCTGGTCGTTTTGAACTGCTGACCCTGAGGTTCGCAGGTTGATTCCTCACCACTACGCTACCAGAACTGGTAAAGAGAGGTTTAAAAGACCTTTCGGAGGATATCAAAGCAAGCGGTGAAGATAGGATTGGATTCCAGCCCAAGAGTACTAAAGTGAAACACATCTTTGCAAATATACGGGTGCAAGAAAGCAGAAGTATCTTAGAAAAACCACTCATCTACCTGGCGCATAGGTTGCCAGGAACCAGAGTCTTCCACACTCTCGGTTTCCCCACCGGGAAAGTGAAGAGATGGAAAGTGTCCGCGGGTCCGAAGCACGCCTACCTTTCTAGGCGTCCCATTGGGTACAGGAGAGCGTGAAGAGGGGAGTGCGGCGAGAAGGGGCGTGCTACGTATGCACGCCAAGAAACTGGCACGCTGCGTGTGTGTGTGGTTTTTCGACGTGGGCGCGGGCCGGCGGCTCCGCAGGGCCGAGGGCCCTTTTGCCCCGCCTTGCTATCCTTGCAGTTGTGGCGTCTGTTTCCTGGTCGTCTCCACCTTTAGCGAAACCAACGAGAGGATCCTGTCTGCAGCTAGAGGAGCCTGGCCGGAGGGAAACTCAGTGACAGGCGGACGTGAGTGGAAAGCCGGGAGTGGCTGTCTTTCCGCCCCCTGAACCTTTGTAAACACCGGTGAGTGACGGGGTTTCAGCCCCCACCACAGCGGATCCCGGGCGGCGAATCCCACCTCTTTCCTGAGGAGGATCTAGATCCTTGCCTATTCCCAGCATGCTCCATGCGGGACGCCAGGGCAGGTGCTAAGGAAGAAATCCTTGCGCTTCTGTAGGCGCTCCTTTGTATCTCAATTGGCTCTTGAGGTGACCGTGCCCTACCCCTCATATCTGTTCCCCATTTTCCTCCGACTCCCGTTTAGCTACTCCAGCACCTTCACCTTCTAAAAAGATTCACCTCATCCACTCTGATAGCGCTTCATCTGTGCCTGATTTCTGTTTCCCTCTTCTCTGCTCCAAATATTCTATCTTGTGTGTTGCCAGTGTTGCATTTTTGAGAGTTTTTGGTTGGGGCCTCACTTGAGTGGGGGGGAAATCTACACAGAATAATTTGTGTTAATGAGTTTTTGTGTTTTTTAAAAAACTGGTTGACTTTTTGGATTTTGTGCAGTAGTTTTTGCTGCCTTGAGTAGTATCCCATCAGGCAGAATTCTGACACAGACACAATGGAGCTTCAAAAAGTTCATGGGAAAATTCCATTCTCTTGGTTTCATTTTTCCAAAAACTTTTTGATGTTCCCTCGTATTTGCCATCATGGAACTAAGAGACACATGTAATTTACCATTTATTGGCCATAAATAATGAAAAATGTGCAATATGAAGTGTGAAATTCCTATATACATTCATTTTTAGAGCACCTCTTGACAGTTCTAATAAGCAGAGCTTGTTTCCTGTCACTTCTCTTTTCTTCTTGAAGCTGTTTATAGATCAAGTACTGTGAGTGACACAGTGCAATCATCCTGCTTCTCTCCCCACACCACCCAACATTTGGAAATTTCATCTGCCAAGCTATATTACACCTTGTCCTTCTGGTAGAAATCAAAATCTATTTTTCTCTACAAGCATACCTCGTTTTATTGTGCTTCACGGATACTGCTTTTTTTCTCTCACAAACTGAAGTCTGATCAGCCAAGTCTATCAGCATCTTTTTTTTTTTTTAAGTTTTTATTGTGAATTGAATGAAAGTTTACTGGGCAGATAATCAGTTTTACATTTACATTCAGTGAAATCAGTTTCATTGCAGTGATTACAGTCCCCTCCATATACCATCAGGCAACGTATTTACCTCTATCTCCCCCCTCCCCCGTTTTTTGGTGTACACATACAAAACAGAAAATACATACTCATTTAAATGTCCAAAGGGCACGCTTTACAAGCCAGCCTCCTGCTAGCAGGCACACAGTCTTTCTCAGTCCATGGGCCTAGAGTCCTCAGCTGCTCTTAACTCTCTATGCCATCACCTCTGCCACTGTCTCTGCTGTTGCTGCTTTTCTGGTTAGGATCCTACACTCCACTCATGCTCTTCTCTCTTGATGGTTTTAGGGTCCTCTGTTCCTGAAATGAAAGATTAACTACTACCCCCTTTTAGTTACACATCTTCTACATTTACAGTTGTGACAATCACAAGTAGTCCAGATAACAATTACAGAATTAAAATTACAAATTAAAAGCCAATCCCTCATCCTCCCCCATCCCCTTTCACCAGACCCATCTGTAAAAGAGGAAACTAATCAGCTATCAAGGAGCTCTGGTAGCACAGTGGTTGTGAGTTGGGCTGCTAACCTCAAGGTCAGCTGTTCGAAACTACCAGCTGTTCCACAGGAGAAAGATGAGGCTTTCTGCTCCCATAAAGGTTTACAGCCTCAGAAACCTTGTACAGGGTCACTATGAGTCGAAACTGACTCCACAGCACACTACCACCACCACCACCATTCAAGCTATAAGCACCATTTTCCCACTTCATATCTCTGTGTCACATTTTGATCATTCTCACAATATTTCAAACTTTTTCGTAATATAATCACACACTTACTAGATTACAGAATATTGGTAAACAATATGCACTGGGAAACCAAAAATTCACGTGACTCATCTTACGGCGATGCTGGCCTTATTGCAATATTCATCTTATAGCAACATTTGCCTTATTGCAGTGCTCTGGAACCAAACCCGTGATGTCTCCGAGGTATTCCTGTAGAAGGAAACCATGGAGATGGTGATGTTGGGTACAAAATATCAGTTATAGTTAACAGATCCCACTTCTGGGGTTTGTTTTGTGTGTGTGGCATTATAGGATAAGTACTGGACTGCTAACATAAGATCAGAAGTTCAAACTCACCAAATGCTCCTCAGAAACCCTATACAGGGTCGCTATGAGTCAGAACTATCTCGATGGTATTTAACAACAAAATAGGAAAACAAGTGGTGCATTTAGTGGTTACGAATCGGGCTGTGAACCTCCAGGTCAGCAGTTCGAAACTACCAGCTGTTCCGCGGGAGAAAGATGAGGCTTTCTGCTCCTGTAAAGATTTGCAGCCTCGGAAACCCTGTACAGGGTTGCTATGAGTTGGAACCGACTCCATGGCACAAAACCACCACCACCACCAGTGTTAATGGTATAGAAGCACTGTGGAGACTGCTATGTAATGTGAACAACAACAACAAAAAATACTCAAATGATGCTAGGAGATCTGGTGTCTAGATCCACTTCTACCACTGACTGATTGTTACTTTGGGTCAATTACTCAACCTCTCTGGACCTCAGTTACCCTGTTTGTAAAATGAGATAAAAGGCACCTTTGAACTTTAAGAGACAAAGGGAAAATCTAAGTAGCTCAATAAAACATTCTTTGTGGAAATGGAGGGGTGATTGGGAAATTTCTAGCCTTCACTATCATAAATGGTTAGCATACAATTTTCTTTTTAAAAAAGTTGTATTTAATGTTGGCTTCTATTTTAAATTTCTAATTAAAATAAAAGAGTAGAACTTTCCTTTTTTTACATTCCCAGAGAAGAACCTGCCTTTTCAAGAAATAAAATGTTCATTTATGGGTCCTGGTGGCACCATGGGGTACTCATTGGACTGCTAACCAAAAGGTCGATGGTTCAAATCCACCAGCCGCTCTGCAGGAGGAAGATGAGGCAGGCTTTTTCCATAAAGATTTAGCCTGGGAAATCCTTGGGAACAGTACTACTCTAATCCTATTGGGTCACTATGAGATGGAACTGACTCTTATCCAAGTAATTCTCATCCAAACTATTCTCATTTGAATTTTTAATATACCAGTTAGTTGAGGTACTGTATTAGGTACTATATTGGAAAACATTTAGCTTTAGGAGCAAACGTATAAATATTAACATACATGCTATCAGTCTTACGATACTTGATTTAGATGTACTCAAAACACTTAAGGTCAGCAGCCATCAGTTAAATAAAGTACTACCTTGAGAATAGAAATGTCAACACAGATGCTATTGGTGATTTGCCAGTTGTAGGTGGCTTTATTAAATATAAGGTTTTTGTATGAAGGCACATTTATATCTGCAAAGGCATTTCACTAATGTAAACTTGTTTAATTAAATTCCATTAAAAAGAATTATGGATGGACAGCTTGTGTAACATTGGTTTCCAGGGTTAATGCTTTGATGTAGTACTTGGTTCATTAAAATCCCCACAGATGAATTGCAAAATGGGCCTACCCTCAGCAAATTATACTCCATAGAGGATTTGCTTCAAAATTCTAGTTTGCACCAAAGAGTAATCAGATACCATTGGAAGCTAAAGATTCCTAGGGTCATTGGTACTATATACAACTAGCTGGATTTCAAACTTGGGAGGATTTTCAATGTGTAGAGCACAATGTAAGTATATAAGCAATACCCAAGCAAATTGCTACGCTAATCCTTTTTTTTTTTAAGTATTTTAAGGATCTTTTTCTTCTTTATAGGAAAAATGTTTTCTGAAAGCAGTTCATTTTTGAAGGGTATGATGCTCGGAAGCATTTTCTGTGTTTTGATCACTATGCTAGGCCACATTAGGATTGGTCATGGAAACAGAATGTATCACCATGAGCATCATCACCTACAAGCTCCTAACAAAGAAGATATCTTGAAAATTTCAGAGAATGAACGCATGGAGCTCAGTAAGAGTTTTCGGGTATACTGTATCATCCTTGTAAAACCCAAAGATGTGAGTCTTTGGGCTGCAGTGAAGGAGACATGGACAAAACACTGTGACAAAGCAGAGTTCTTCAGTTCTGAAAATGTTAAAGTGTTTGAATCAATTAACGTGGAAACAGATGACATGTGGCTTATGATGAGAAAGGCTTACAAATATGCCTTTGATAAATATAAAGACCAGTACAACTGGTTTTTCCTTGCACGCCCCACTACATTTGTTATTATTGAAAACTTAAAGTATTTTTTGTTAAAAAAGGACCAATCACAGCCCTTCTATCTAGGCCACACTATAAAGTCTGGTGACCTTGAATATGTGAGTATGGAAGGAGGAATTGTCTTAAGTATAGAATCCATGAAAAGACTTGATAGCCTTCTCAGTGTCCCTGAGAAGTGTCCTGAACAGGGAGGGATGATTTGGAAGATATCTGAAGATAAACAGCTAGCAGTCTGCCTGAAATATGCTGGAGTGTTTGCAGAAAATGCAGAAGATTCTGAAGGAAAAGATGTATTTAACACCAAATCTGTTGGACTTTTTATTAAAGAGGCAATGAATAATCAACCCCAGCAAGTAGTAGAAGGATGTTGCTCAGATATGGCTGTTACTTTTAATGGACTGACACCTAATCAGATGCATGTGATGATGTATGGGGTATACCGTCTTAGGGCATTTGGGCATGTTTTCAACGATGCGTTGGTTTTCTTACCTCCTAATGGTTCTGACAACGACTGACAACTCGAATAAGAGCATATGTACACTGTATACGACATGTTATTTGTGGTGACAACTACATATGCAACATAGTGTATGTTGTTTTTTTATTATTTAAAAAAATTAGTGATGCTGGCATAATTATACATTACAACTTAGTAGTGTATTTTTTAATGGGGTGGTATTTTTTCCTCAAAAGTACAAATGTGTTGGAAAGAAATGTTTCAAGAATAGTAATTTTGCAACTAAAGGGTATTGTTGTAAATACTGTATGGTAAATTCTAAATTATGAACATTAAAAATCTATTGTGGCCCATATTTTTGCTGATTGGTGAAAAAAAATTAAATGTCTTTATAGCTTTCTAAGGTGTGCAAGTGAATCTCTAGCTGTGAAATTTGTGATTAAAATGAAACTTAATGCTGTGTTATTTCTTTAATGATGATTTGTGTTCTAAACCACTTCAAATGCCAATAGATTTACTAAGGAAATATTACTAACCAATGTTAGAGTGAAAGTTTAAATCTGAGAAAAAAGTGAAAATTAATTATAAATATTAAGGAATTTTCCTGGGAACTAGTTTAATGGCATTCCTCAGTCTGACTCTCCACTGTGTAAGAAGCCCTGGTAGGGAGAGTAGTGGATTTTGAGCTAGGTTGCTAACTGCAAGGTCAGCAGGTCGAATCTATCAGTTGCTCCACAGGAGAAAGATGGGGCTTTCTGTTCTGTAAAGATTTCCAACTCGATGGCACACAACCACTATCACCACCTACACTGTATGCTGACTGAAATTGGAGTGGTGACTATAAAGAAGACACTTAAGTCATATAAAGTATATAAACTGTATAACTACACAGTTATTTAACTGTGCTATTTCTCAGTTAAGCAAGCTTATAGCCGGGGCCGGCATAGATTTTTTTCAGTTGAGATTTATTTACCTATTTTTAAAGTAAATAACATGCACATTATTCCATGTTGGGGGTAGCAAACCACACAGTCCCTCCTGCACTGGTTTTCTGTGTGTAGCATGCATGCATTATATGCATGTGTACTTGATTTGTGTGGGCTTGTCATATGCGGAAAAATACAGTGTTCCTATTGGGCAGATAAGAGGCCTGGTGTGGCGCTATAGGATAAGCACTGCACTGCTAACCACAAGGTCGGAGGTTCAAACCCACCAGCCGCTCCTTGGAAATCATTAACAGCTGGGCAAATAAGTTCTGTGAAATCACCTTTGAAGAACTTGTTTGGGCAGTCTGGCAGTTGACCTTACTTGAATTAAGTCTGTCTTCATGTTTGTTGATCTGTTCAGGGTCTGAGGTTTCTCCCACATTTTGGGTCTGGGGGCCCTAGCCTTATCATTGATCTTTGATTACCATACCATTTGCCTGATTTCGGTGACTACAGGGTCATCAAGAGTTGGAATTGACTGCATTGGCAGTGAGTACCTAGTGGTAAATGCAAGGGGAATTTAAAAGTTCATGGAAAAATTCCATTTTTCCAAGAACTTTTTGAAGCCCCCTTGTACAACAGCTCCTATGCCTAAAATGTATGATTTGTCCCATAATCTGGTCTTACACACTGGATTAAATCAGATCTATAAACCCATATAGGATGTGAAACCATTACCTTTTGTTGTTGCTGGTAAGTGCCATCAAGACAATTCCAATATGTAGCAAGCCTGTATAGGGTTTCCAAGGAGCAGCTGGTAAATTTGAACCACCGAACCTGCAGTTCAAACCGACATTATGGTTGAGTGCTTATCCTAGTGCTGCACCAGGACTCTTAGAGATCACTACTTTAACTGGCCTCATGGTCTTCTAGAACTCTAGCAAGCCAGAAAGATCATTTCCTCAAGAGGGCCTTAGGCTTCAAATTATTGGTTCTCAGAGCAGTGTGTAGAACTCTGTTTAAATTTACCTGAATTCCTTTATTGAGGTTTTTGGTTAAGATGAAGGGTTATTAATAATTTTTAACAATAATAAAAATCTTTTTCAAACACCGTAATATGTGGTCTGAGATGTGATTTCTTTTTAAAGTTGCCATTCTGATTCATGGCAACCCATGTGTGTAAGAGGAACTATGCCTCAAAGGATTTTCAGTGGCTGATTTTTCAAGATCACAGGCCTTTCTTCCAAGGTGTATCTGGGTGATTATTACATATTAAATCACTTTCAGTGTGTGGCACTGTGGGTTAATGCGCTAGACTGCAAAGTTGGTTTGAACTGCAAGGTTGGTGGTTCAAGCTCAGCAGTCACTCCTTGGAAACCCTCTACAGGGTCACTATGGGTCGGAAGCAACCCAACGGCACTTAACAACACAGTGATAAACAGTATCAAACAGTATCATGTTGTGTGACACACAGCTTATACATGTCACCTTACCTCCTAACACCAATATATTATGAAACATCTACTGTATTTATCACTTTCAATCATAGTAGTGCATCAAGGTATGAAACCAAACCCACTGCCATCGAGTCAATCCTGACTCCTGGCAACTCTGTAGGACAGAGTATCAGGGTGTACTTGTAATAAATTGTAAATATTCATTCCATTGCTTGATTTGCTTATGGATGCTCTGGTAACATTGAACTTTGAACCAAATTAATGCTCTAGTTGTATTTTACTTCATGAGTATTCCCATTTAGTTAGTTTTAAATAATATACTGTCTCTGAACTCCTTAGTGTCAAGTCCTATAGATACAATCTGAATCAGTAACATAGAAAATAGTACTACTGAGGTCATGGTTATAAATTTCATTACCATACATGTCAGTAAGCTTCATATGAAGATAGTATATTCAGTAGCCAAAACTGTAACCTGAACCCCACTGTTAACTGGACAGAAGGAAGTGAGTTCGGGAGAATGGAGGAAATGTATCATGATTGGAAATATATTTTTGTATGTAGTGGATGTAGCCGAAAACTTGCTTGTGAATCAAACCTGATTTGTAATGCCCAGATTTTTCTATACTTCAATTGCCCTTATATATATCAAGCATTTATGAATTCCACAAAGCCTGGTGCTTTGTGGAGAACAAAGCCCAAACTCATGATTGATTATTGTTGTTGTTATGTACCGTGGAGTCGGTTCCGACTCATAGCGACCCTGTACAGGGTTTCTGAGGCTATCAATCTTTACGGGAGCAGAAAGCCTCATCTTTCTCTCGTGGAACAGCTGGTAGTTTAGAACTGCTGACCCTGAGGTTTGCAGCCCAATTCGTAACCACCGTGCTACCAGAGCTCCTTCATGATTGATACAGGGAGTCAAAAAAGTCATCACATATAAGCTTTACATGAGCAATTTTTTAAAAACAACAAAAATAACTATTGTTGGAGTATGGTGGTCTTATTGCCTTTAAAGTCCTGGACTTGATAAATGTTTATTTCTCTTAAACCCACACAATTCCCATTTCTTTGGTAGCTTACACTGATTTCACTATATAAGACTAGGTATATTAGTTATACTATTGCTTTGGAAGTCAGGCAAAATACCCTGGCAGGAATAGCAGGATCTGAAAATAAACCTCATTTTCACTAAGTACATAGGTCACAGAATTGCTGCCCTTAATGTGTGATAGGCTTGCATTTGAAAAAAATGCTTTACTCTAGTGGCTGTTAAGAGCCATTGACATAGGTACTCTCTATGCATAATCAGGGAGCTCTGGTGGTATAGTGGGTTATGCATTGGGCTGCTAACTACAAAGTCAACTGTTCAAATCCACCAGCTCCTCTGTAGGAGAAAGATGAGACTTTCTACTCCTATAAAGATTTACAGCCTTGGAAACCCTTTACAAGGTCGAGTCAGAACCAACTGGATAGCCAAAAGATTAGCTCAGTACTATCTGACTCTGTATTGAAAGGAAAGGGGGAAAAACTGTTTCTAGCTTGATGAAGACTTAATACCCGCAATGAGAATATTCTTTCCCATTTTTAGCATTCTAAATCACTTGCCTCTTTAAGGAAACTCAGGGAAATAAAAACTTCTCTAACCCCGCGCTGTCCAATAGAAATACAATGTGAACCACATGTGTAAATTTAAATTTTCTAGTAGCCACACTGAAAAAGTAAAAGGACACAGGTGAAATTACTTTTAGCAATGTATTTTATTTAGTCCAATATATCAAAAATAATTATCATTTCAATACGTGATTAATCAATAGAAAAATATCAATGAGATATTTTACATTTTTTTTTTCATATTACGTCTTGAAAATCAAGTGTGTATGTTATACACAGACTAGCCACATTTCAAGTGCGCAGTAGCCACATGTGGCTAAATGGCTACCATATTGGACAGTGCAGTTCTAACCAATTCCAGAAGGGTGAGACTCCCTAGCTGAGATGTAAATGGGAGAAAACTTGAAGCTTCTTCTATAAGTTGCATTTATTTTTCTGGTTTTCTTGAATACTGTGGAAACTGCAACCTGACTTTTAGCATGCCCCAGGCCATCTCCTTGCTTGAGTTCAATCACTGGATCTTCCTTGTCAAAATTAAAGCATTGGATCTGGAGTAAAGTATAAATTAGATCCCTTAGCTTTTTTTCCCTTAGATCATAAGTAAACCAAAAATGTACCTATCGTTACCTTTAATGTTCACTAACCACCATTTCCCCAGCTATCTTTTGGGTATGTTGGTAGTCTCAGAGCAGCAGCTAATGCTCCCTTTTCACCATAACATTCTACAGAGACTGATCACCTCATCTGCTTAACCGCCCCCTTGGATCACTTTGTAAAAAGATCTAGCCAAGGCTTCTAAATGGCCACACCTTTAAATGGTCACATATTACTGACTTGAAGGGGACTAATAGGAAAACTGAAGACCTTAGGACTGAGTCCAGTTTCAAAAGATTTTCCCAGTATCCCCTGTAATTGAAGAAGACAACAGAAAGACAGTCCCTCAGAAGCCCAAATAATATACTGTGCAGGCCTCCCACTCTGAGCTCATTCATTCTAACCAGATTTCCCCACTGTGGAACAGAGGCTTAGTCAACATATATATCTTTGTCCAATAACCCATAAGCAAAGATGGTGATGTGACTGGGTTGAGCTTAACAAAGGAAATAAGTGAATTTTCTGCAAAACAGGCTTTGCAGTCAAGCAGACCTAGATTCAAATCCTAACTCTGACACTTATTAGTTATGTATCTTTTGGAAAGTTATGAATACCTTTCTGAGCCTTAGTTTCCTCATTTTTGAAATGAGAATTAAAATCATGGTATTGTTTAAGCAAGATATATAAGTAGAGACT